CCATTCAGCAACCTACTTATATCAAATCCTCTTATAACAAAATGTAATATCACTTAACTCCTACTCAGCTCAATCTACAAGAGAGTTACATTTTCAGCAATGAGAAAATACTATGAACAAACTTCTGGATCCTAGAGTTTGTTCAAAAAGTATTATAATAAATTGAATTGAATTGAAATTCTCCTTTTGTTGTCATAAAACCATTAATGACCTGCTAGTCTTGGGGGTGTTTAATATATCTTTGTTGATAAGTTTATTCATAAAGGGGAGAATTGGAGTTTTTCTGATACTTTCTAGAATTTTGCAAACTATCTGAAAATATGATCTTCATCTTTGCCTGGACACTGAAGCAGGTTTTACAGAGGCAAATTGAAAGCATGCTTAAAAGACTCATCCAGTGCCTATGTGTAAGAGCCTTCCAGAATGTCAGTTGGAAGACTGAGCCAGCTACCCTGTTAATTTGTAAGGAACAACAAATTTTCAACTAACTCCACATTCATCTTGACAAATCCTTTGGGCATATTTTTAAAGGTGAAACAAGTTTCCAGGCAAGGGTTTTCATGGTGCTAATCATGACCTAAAAAACCTAATTGTACAGTCCTCGGAGAGCCAGAAATCCTGCCCAGTTAGAGAGACAGAGTTGGAAGCAAAGTTTGGTTCGCACAGTTCCTACTACTTCTGACTATTGGATTTTTATTTATTATAGCAGATTTATCATGTGCTAGATAATTTCACATTCATGGCTTTTCTAGTGCTCAATTTATCAAGGAGAGCGGTGCCACATCCTCCTGTATTTTATCGCAAGTACCATCAGGGTAAGATAGACAGGTTCTCTTTCTCCCGCAGTGACTTTGCCACTAAATCATAATTCATAACGATGCATCTTTCCTGGGTTCAATTTTTAATGTTGTTTCCCTTTTTGGAATGTTTACCTAACAGGAGAAAAGAGGGCATTATATATGAGTTGCATCCATATCACTCATGTGTTCTCTACTGAGAAGATGAAACCAGATGGCAGAAAAATACTCAGTGATTTCAGAGACTCGCTTTGGACATTTTTTTTTAAGTTGTGCACTTTTTCATTATCAAAGACAAGAAAAATGAAGAGAAAAGTGATGAGGGCTTAAGTTATGACTTCCACTTTCCTTCTAAGTTTTAAAAAGTGAGGTGGCTAGTGATACTGCACATTGATTATGTGGTACACAACCAGTTAGAACTGGGACCATATGGATTAGTGAAGGGCCATTATCCATCAGCAAACGAAGCCCTTTTCTCTTTATACTATTCCTCATGCTGTGAATATAGTTACTAATAAAATCCATTTTCCTTTAGACAAGAGCAACGGATGCTCTCATTTTTTTCTTGAGAGTAACTCTTGTTCTTTCTTAATACATTTCTCCCCCGACTCTCTTGTTTACTTGTAGAGGACTTACTTGTGCAAGGCGAGCACAGGATGTAGCTAATTCCTGTGTGGAATTCTAGCTTTGAAGACCCCCAGTTTCATTTCCATGAAAGTTAATGTAGATTCTCCAAAGAAAGGCATTTTCAATAAGGGTGAGTATTAGAGAGCAGTGATCTCTCCAAAGAAGTTCAAAACATCTCCTTCAAATGACTTTCTGGTGAGTATCAGATGGTAATGTGCTAAGAGTCAAAAGTCAATGAAACAACACCCATTGTGTGACTTTCAACAAAGCACTTCATCTCTTTGGTCCTCTGGGGCTTCATCTATAGATTAAGGATAATTTTTGTTCTCAAATTGTATGATTCCTTGACTAACAATTTTCTGATCTTTATTAAACTTTGTTGCAAAGAGCAACATAATTGCAGATCTGTTTGGATTTGATGGCTCTCATTTTAATTAATACAAAATTTGACGGTCATAACCCCCATTATGAAGTCTGTCAAATTCATTTGGTCTTCTCTTGTTTGTACTTTGTAAGTATAGATGATCTATAGTATTTGGACAATAAGATGATATTTTTGCAAAGCTTTAGAGGTTTAAATAAGATGATAGTTTTCCATACTTAAGAGTTGTGAACAGGTCAGCCCCTAGAATACTTACATAAATGCAGTTACTTGTTATTAGTTTGGCAAAGCTTTTAGCATTGTACTAAAAAGTTAATAGCTGTTTGGAAGCATACTAGAGATCAGTTATTATCTACTCATTCTAAGCTAAATTCTTGTTTCACTCTAATGGTGCCCTAAATTGCTCATTGAAAACAATTTGAATCCTGAGGTAAAAATAAACTTGATATTACCAGCTTATATAAGAAAAATTATAATAAAGACTAGATTGCTTTAGGATCATCCAATAGGTCATGGGCTCAATTAAAAAAAAAACAGATTAAAGTAGGCTATAAAATACTTTTTCACTAAAAAGACAAAAACCAGATCTGGAACAATTCAATGTTTTCAAGCAAATTAATGAATAAATTAGATCAACAAATCACAGAAGTCAGTTGCTGCAAAATGGCCCCAAAACATGCTTTGGGTAGAAAAATGCTGGATATACATAGTATATGCTCAATAAATGTTAGCTGTCAGAAATACAATTATTATTACAGCCTGAGGCGCTGTTTTCCTGCTGGAGAAAGTTTTATCTTTGACGAATAGTCAGTAATCATAGTTCTTGTTTCTTATCTCTTCTGCCTGGAGAACTTACTAGTGAGAAAGATACTACCCCTTCCTCACAAACATAAATGAGATAGAGTATTGTGGATTTTGTGGTTGCGGTTGTGGTCTTGCTTTGTTTTGTTTTTTAATCATTTTTTGATAAACACACTAGCTAACTAATCCCCAAACCAGTATTTTTTTTAAGAGCCATTAGTGTCTGTGTTTGAAAGACCCTCTTCCCATTTAAAACCAAAACCAATTTTAAGTGCTACCCTAAGTATCATGGTAACCTCATGTGGAATTACCTTCCTGTTGTCTCATCTAAGTTTTCATTCAAAACAGGAGGCAAAGGAATGGAAAGCTCAATAAAATTATACCTTCACTGTAATTAATCCATGTAAAACATTGCCTGTGTGTGTATGTGTGTACATAGCAATGTTTGTGTACCTATCCATACACACAGGATATAAATTCAATTTTTTTAAATTATATGCCTAAGAGATGGGAATACAGATTATTTTTTATCATTAAACATTTGCTATGAGGAAATATGTATTACTTCTATAAGCAGTATAAACGATACACTTTCAAATATGTCTCGTGGTGGTTATACAACAATACGAATGTACTAAATACCACTGAGCTGTACATTTTAAAAATGGTTGAGATAGTAGGTTTTATGTGTGTTTTACCACAATAAAAATGATAATAAGAAAGTATGTCTGATCTACGAAGAAAGAACAAGTAATAATCACCATTCAAGGGCAAGGACAATACCCACAGGACCATTTTCACCTTATATACCGATTACTTCTGGACCCCAGGATGGAGCCTAGAGAGGGTGTTGTCCTGGAAGGTCAGTTGCTCTATGGTACCCACAGGGCACAGTTGAAAATGAGATCCTCCCAGCTTGAGTCTGACTACAAGGCCATTCTGGGAGGGTGTGTGCTGGTGAGAGCGTATGGTCTCTAATTACAAAGCTAAAATATGCTCATGTGACAAATTTGGTGGGTGTGTGGAGGTGGGTCGCCTCAAGGCATATATGTTACCTAGAATTATTCACTGTTTATATTTGAGTATTCTTTCTACAAATTCGTGGTCACACTGTGTATATTGATAAAGTCTCCTCCCTGTGCACACTTTCAATGCCATTAAATATTCTTCTAAATAGTAATTTTATAGCTGTTTAGAGAGGTATCAAATTACTTAACAAATGTCTTATGCTTAGTCCTTTAGATTATTTCCAATTTTTCTCCATTATAAATAGCACTGCCTTATAAATGAGCATCCTTACACAAATATCTTTTTTTCTTTCACTCTGTGGCCAATGGCACTCTCCTACTTTTTTTAATTAATAAACTTTTTTTTTAGGGCACTTTTGTATTCATAGCACAATCGAGTGGAAGGTATGGACAGTTCCCACTTACTCTCTGTCCCCACACATGCACAATATCCCCCACTGTCAACGTTCCATATTGGAGTGTTCTACTTGTTAACAACCAATCCATGAACCTACACTGACCCACCATTGTCACCAGAGTCCACAGTTTTACATTAATGTTCACTCTTTGAATATCTTTTTTATATCTAATATATCTTCCTTAAGATAACTTCCTTGAAACACAACATTGTAAACCAACCATACTTCAATTTAAAATAAAAAAAGATAAATTCCTCGAAGTGGAATATGTGATGTAAAGATATGAACACGAGACAAAATTTTACAAGTATATTTTGGATGTCAGTTTCTCACTAAGTTCTTCTAATGTGGCATAGTAATTTGCAGCCAGACAGACATGGGTTCAAACCCCAGCTCTGGACATCTAGCATGCTGACCGTTTGTGCAACTTGGCCTCTAAACTTCCATTCCTTTATACAAAAAATGGGGATAACAGCCACCTCAGATGACTATTGTGAGAACTAAACGAAATCACATGTATAACCTGCTTAGCACAGCTCCTGGTGTCAATAGCTATGTTGCTAATAATTTGCTTGAGGTCAAGGCTGTAAATCTAAGGGAGTTAAAGTTCTGAAAGTCAAGGTTCTCTTGACAATTTAATATGATATACCACATGCAGAGCATCTATCTCCTCTCTGAACACTTCCTGTGATCTCAGCGATCATCGATCAAGATCCAGGCTCTCTAATTAGGTGCCCACATGACCAGCCTACTTGTATAACCCACAGTATGCTCAATGGGATGAGCTCATCCCAATTCATCCTTACCTCCTCATCCTGGCCAGGATTTGCTGTGGGTAATACTCTTCCTCCCTCCACTGACTTCAAGCTTAGCCATGTGACCTGCTTTGGCCAATGACACACGAGCAGATTTAAGGTATGCCATGCCCACCCAGAGGCTCCAGATAAACTCCTGAGGTTTGACTCACCTCCCTGTGCTCCTTCCTGCACCGTGAAAAAAGCATGCCTCTGTGCTGCTGCTATTTCACCTGGGCCCTGGAAATGAAAGGCACATGGATCAGGTCTAAACTCCACTGAAGCCAACCCACACACCAACCTGGAAGAAATTAATCTTTGCTTGTTGTAAGCCACAAGATTTGGGGGCCTGGGCTGGCTAATAACCATGGTTGTTAATGTCTACCAACAGAGGCAGGCTTGACTGCAGAACAGAGACATCAAGGGAGAGGAAGGTGCCTCTTGAGGGGGCATATTTGTTCTGAGACATTTACTAAAAGCAGAGCCACCACAATGACCCAGCCTTCCTTTCCCCATAATAAAGGCAAGGAACCACAGAGTGTTAGGAAAGAGAATATGGTTGAGAAACTAGAGCCAAGGTCCCTAGGTAGACAGGCTGGTAATGGAAGTCTGCCTTGTCTCACTTTGGTTATTTCTCTCCAGGGGTGATTTACAAGGTGATAAAGAACTTCAAGCTGCAAAAGGTACTTAGGCTGTTAAAAACCAGCTTTTTATGATCCCTTGTTCTTTATAGTACATGTTGTTTCATTAATCAAATGCTTATTCTATTAGAAGTCCCAAACCTTTGAGATGGTGGGACATTTCATTTTTATTGACCTGAAGTGACATTAAAATCCACATGCTCCCCAGCAGGTGAATGGTTAGTGTGTAGACTCTTTGCATCCTCTGTCCTCTTTGATCCTATCTATTTTGTATTAATATTTTAGACTTAAAAAAATATTTTTTTTTGCTTATTTCATGTCAATACTGGAATAGATGCTGAGAAAATAGCTAAAACCCTTTTTGTTCCATAGCCACGTATTTGAAGTCTGGAACCAGCCGCTGATGTCATAATCAAGCACATGGGTTTGCATGGTGTACCTCATCTCTTTTGGCCTAAGCTTCAGCTGGCTCTGTGTTATCATCAACTGGTAAAATTAGAGGCTCTTATCTAGTCAGCCTGGAGCAAAGTCATTCTCTCCCTTGTCAAAGGTGGTTCTTATCCTGGAATCTCTTATGCATTTTCATAACTGAAGTGATTAATTTGTTAGCTTCTAGTTCTCCTCTTTAGATACTGTTCTGAATAATACATAATCATTCATAACTATTCATTTATAATTTGTAATTGTTATGTAACAGCGACCTCAACTCATTCCTTAGAGATGGAATATGTATTAGATAGGCAGATAGAAAGATAAATTGATAGACATTGATCAACTATTATGAATAACATTTTCACTAAATTATAATGCATAAATATTTCAGAGCCTTTACAAGATGTTTCCAGACAAATGCAACCCCTGTCTTATTATTGCCCCAATTGTAAAAGCAGTTCCATCTCCAGTGAAAGGGAACCCACTTCTGATCAAGGTGTTGGCAGGACCATGTTCCCTCTGAAGGCACTTAGTATTTTCAATGTGTCTTCACTGGTTTCTTCCTCTGTACCTTCAAACAGGCACAGATCTACCATGTTAGGGAAAAAAATGTATATTTGGCAATCTTTCTTCCTTATGTTTGCCCTTTCCTTTTACAACAAAACTTTTAATGTTAGCAAATCTGAGTTTATCCCACACTGCTGAAAGTGGTTTCTCAAACTTGACAGGGCAGCCATGAGTCCCAAATCTAGTGCTTCCTTATGTTCCCTTCCTTTGACCTCTCTATAAAATTTGACTCTAATTACTCCTTCATCCTTAAGACTTTCGCTCTAATAACTATTTCTCATCCTACTTGTAAGGCCACTCTTCTCCGTCTCCTTCATTGGCTCTTTCTCTTCCCTTCACCATCTAACCACGGCCTGGTGTCACAATCTTTTGCCATCTCTCCACTCCTCTCTCCCTTTGAGCACTCACTGGTTTTCATGTTAAATATGGGGATAATCTTAAAACATTTGTCTCTGACACAGACCTCACGCCTATGTCTCACTGTCTGCAGTAAATTTCCTCTGAGATGGACAAGTATATCTGTTTCACTTCCAATTCCTATTCCTCCAATACAAACTGTGTGCCTCTCATCAGACTGATCCAAGCATCTTCCTTTCTAGTCCAACTGCCCAGATCTTAATCCAGCCCCCCATGGCCGCAACTGCGGATTGTACTTGCTTCCCCTTAGGTGGCCGAGCCCAGTCTCTGCCTCCTCTGTCCTACCATGAAGACCACAGGTTCCGAACCAAATGTGGCACCTGAGGTGCTTTTTTTTTTGCACCTGGTCTCTACACATAAATATTCTAATCAAGTAGGTCTTAAGTGGGACTCCAATTTTTATATTTAAAAAAGGTTCATCTGAAATATGTGTAGTTTAATATATAGGAATCATATCATAATACAGCTGTTTGAAAAATAAGTAGGTAAGTAAGTAAATAAAAAATAATTAATTAATTTAAAATAAAAAAACACCACAATGAGTTGTATTAGGTTCCTAGGGCTCCTGTAATGAAGTATCACAAACTGTGTGGCTCAGAACAACAGAACTGTATCATTTCACAGCTCTTGAGGCTGGAAGTCTGCTGGCAGGGTCACTAGGGAGACATCTGTTCCAGACCTCTCTCCCAGCTTCTGGTAGCCTCAGGCACTCCTTGGCTTATAGATGATCATCTTCTCCCTTTGTCTTCACATCCTCTTTCCTCTGTGTGTCTGTATCTTTGTGTCCAAATTTCCTTTTTGTATAAGGACATCAGTCACACTGAATTAAGGCCCACTCTATGGCCTCATTTTAACTTGATTACTTCTGTGAAGAACCTATTTCCAAATAAGGTCACACACATTCTGGGCTACAGGAAGTTAGGACTTCAATGCACCTTTTGTTGGGGGACACAGCACAACGCATAACACAAGTCATCCTTATCACACCATAAATTTGTAAACCATTAATATAGACCAAGGGTCAGCAAATTACAGTCCTCCCTCAGTACCCACAGAGGATTGGATCCAGGATCCCTGACAGACACCAAAATTGTGGATGCTCAAGTTTTGTGTATAAAATGTCATAGTATTTGCACATATTCTATGGTACATCCTCCCATAGACTTGAAATCATCTCTAGATTATATATAACCCCTAGTACCATGCAAATGCTATAGAAATAGTTGCTGGTATGCAGAAAATTTAACTTTTGCTTTTTGGAATTTTCTGGAAATTTTTTCAAATATTTTTGATTCTCAGTTGGTTGAATCCAAGGGTGCAGAACCTGCAGATACAGAGGGCCAACTGTATACCCCACAGGTCAAATGTCCTGCCTGTTTTTGGAAATAAGGTTCTACGGGGACACAGCCACACACATTGGATTGTGTTTTATGGCTTACATGCTACAACAGCAGTATTATAGTGTTTGCATGGCCCACAGAGCCAAACATAGTTACAGAATAAGTTTTCAGGCCCCTTCCCGACACCACTGCTTTCCAAAGCAAGGGCATGAAACACTGGTGGAAGTGGAGATGATTTTATGTGGCACCCACATATGAAACCAAATAATATCTAATCATCCAGTGAGGCATGTGTTCCCTTTTTAATTTTCTTTCTATTGCTATGGTTACATGAAGGAGGAGATTTGTTTTGTTACAGATCTTTATTTCCTTTTGAATACTTGTTTGTCTTTATCACCAGGAGACAACAGACGTCAGGCTTAGAAACTTGGGCAGAAAACACTATCTGCTTGGAATCCAACACTTTTTCTTGGGTTTATTTTTTTATGTTTCAATTAATGGCAAGTGGTGTTTGTTCTTCACGCTTAGTAGTGGTGTGACTTTCTTTTAAAACAGACCTTTTAAATAGAAAAGTCATCTAAGGAAAAAGATGAAGCAATATGTAGTAAAGGTGGTACTCAAATGTAGAAAACATGTCCCAAAGGTGTACGAAAGGCTGCAGTTTTAGAAACACTGCTACCGTCTAATGCAGCAGCAGCATGTAGTACCCCTTGCCTGATGTTTCCCAGCTCCTAACTCCTTCAGTGGGTTCCCACTTCACCCTAGCATTCAAGGTCATGTGCAACCTGTTCCCACTCGATGTCTACAATATTAGCCAACCACGGTCCTGCACTAGACAGAAACCACCCAGGAGCCAGACCCTCTGGTCTCTCCACTGATTGCACCTTTCCCTTTTCAGCTCTGAGTCAACTCACACACTTCTCCCAGAATTTAATACTATTTTCCCTTCTCTTGTTTTCTGCTCTTTGTCATCTTGCCCAATCCACATTTTATCCATTTTTCACGACCAAGCTCAAGCCCTTCTCGCTGGGTGACAATGGAACCAACGGTGTGACTTCCTCTCAGACCCCTAACTGCCTTCCACTGTCTGTTCTATACAAACTGGCTTTCGATTCATTCACTAAATATTTTAAGAGCACCTGCTGCGTATGAACCTTAGCCCAGATGCTAGGAAACATGACAGGTGTGAGCCCTGCCCTCATTAGGCTTATATTCCTTGGAGGAGGAGGGACAAACAAAGCATCATGATGATTAAAATCTGGGTCTCAGCAAAGGGACTGTGTGCAAGAGCATATAGCAGGGAGGTCCTCAAGGAAGTGAGAACTGAGGGTGAGCACAGTCAGCCTGGTGCATGAGCAGAGTGAGGGCTAGAGGAAGAGGGTTACGCTAGAGCAGGTGAGAAGGGCTGGGGGGAGAAGGGAAGAAGACCTGAAAGCAGATTTCAAGGACAAGAGATGAGAGAGTGCATGGCAGGTTTGAGGAGCTATAGGATGGACATGGCAAAGCGGGTGAGAGATTACAGCAAGTGATGGTACTGAAGAGCATGAAACAATTTACTCAAGGCTATGTACTCACTATGGTGTCGAACTCTAATGGAGTTTACAGAAACCCACTAATGGGTTTCAGCCAGGCAGTGATGTGGTCATATTTTATTGAGAAAATGCACTCTAGCCTCAGTACATAGAAAGGACTGAAGAGAGACAGGAGGAAGGCCATCCAGGAGTCTGCTGTATCAAATAAAGGATGATGGCAGCTGGGAGAGGCAGTGGCATTGGAAATGCAGGGGAGAGATTTGAGAGCCACTTAGGAGAAACAGCCCTCAGGACTTAGGTGGGATGTGTGG